CCCCCCCCCTTCCAAAACAAAAAAAGCCTTCGCGTGCGCCCTCGAACAGGGGTTGTGACTAGGTGTGCAAGGCTCAGTGTGCTGGTGGCCCGTTGGACTTTCACATCCACAAAAGAGGCTTTCGGTCAGGGATATGCCACGTTTTTAGGATCCAATTCTTGCGGTTTGAAGTGTAAGATGTTTGTCAGACGCTGGAATTTGCAAAGTACCTTCTCTGGGCATCCCATTAGGAAGGAAACAAACTCATGATTCTTCTCGCAGTTTTGCTACACAAACCATGTAAGATCGTACAACAAGGATCCTGAAAAGTCTCCCAGTTTTCTCGCCCTGCAACAGTTGAAATCAAGGGTGCTTCTGGACACGGATTGCAGGAGTCGAGCGGCCCCAAGGCTGCACAACTGGAACAACTCTTCGGGAGATAATGCACTGAATGGATTTTGATAACTCCAACCCCAAAGAACTCGGACCCTACATGTATCTTGGCATGGACCTAAACCCTAAACGAGGTTTGACCGAACGATGACGTTGTTGACAACATAGACCTTGGCTTCATGGGGCCCATAAATCTAAGAATGCCACCAGTTTTCGCTTTGTATTTTTGTATGTCATACCAAAAGCACCCTCGCGTAATCCATGTCTACTGGTAACCTCGCGCAATCTCAAAACACTTCCGCAGGTGCCTGATCGCATTCGGGGCTCCATGTACAACCTCTTTCGAGTTCCACTTAACGTCCGCCGCCCATTTTCCATGATGCTTCGTAGGGAATGAGGGCAAGGGTATGGCGATGTGCCTCATTCCTACCAAGCATTGCAGAGACTTCGGCAGGGGAGTATGTAGAGGTTGGCTGCCACGCTTGCACAGATTAGGATTTCTGTCCACGAGGGCGTGTTGGGATTTCGCACCCAGATCTGAGAGGATGCATCTTGCTGTTTAGGACTTTTCTTTGGTTGCATGCATGAAACAGGCTTTTTTCCTTCTCACACAGCCTCGCGACATGTTGGACATATATTTGACGACCATTGCAAAGGCTGGTTGCAAACCGAGCTATAGGATGTGCTGATAATTTCTCGAAAGTGTCTAAGGCTGACATTGGCACACGTCGTGTAGCTGATGTTAAAAAGCCTTTGGAGTTAAAAGCCCGAAAACGTGATCCTCCACCAGGCGCGTTCCACTACAAGCTCCTCCGAGGCTTAGGGCCTGAACAAAAAATCTTACAGTTATGTGGGTAGTTGAATAGGTTGCTTCATCAGGATGGCAGGACCCAAGCCCATTGCAACATGGGAGAACAGCTTCCCTCGGCATACGCACCAAAAGCATTGGAACTCAGGTGGTGGTTCTCGTCCTGCTACTCACAGACCTGAACAGCGATTCAAGATTCGCGCTTTGTTCCTTGCTGATGTTCCTAGCAATGCTGGCATCTCGTCTGGTTTGAGCATGGCAGACAGGTCAAGAGCTTCAAGGCTTCACGCTTTCGCCAGATTAGGCTTGCAGCGTATTTTTTTGTAGTAGAACAATGGTTCAGGCTTCCAGTATTTTGGTTTGGAGGACCAGACAAGAATTCCATTTTGTCGAAGGGAACGCAGTGCCTTCATTATAAAAAGGTTCGCAGTGATCATAGCAGGTGCCTTCGAAGTGATTTGGAGATGCCAAAGCCTTAACTCCCTAATCCTGATGAAGCCTCTTCTGAGGACAGAACTAGGTGCACATCTGAACCAAAATCATCAGACATGCGTCAAACCATTCATTTCAAATGGTTGCGCCTGAAGCACAAGGATACGCATTGACATCACGAACCTTGTACGTCCGTCACATCTTGCAGCCAAAGTGCAATGTACGAACTTGCAGAAGGCAAAGATTTTGCAACCGCTTTCTGGACCCTCACCCGCCATGGACCATTTGCGCGAATCAATACTGGGATCTTGAGTAATACCATAAAGAAATGATCGGCTTGCAGGCGTTACAGGGCAATCGATAAGTGGATCCCTTGTCTGCCCCGCTGTGATGCTCGCTTCCTCAAAACCGGTGAATCATTCTTGGTTTTGAGGCCACATTCGGTCTCGGACAAAACATGAAAGCTCAAGCAGACAGTCGTGAGGCCAGTGCTGGCTTTTTGGGTTTGAAATTGAAAGTCCGCAGAGGCGAAATAGCTCAAGTGCTACCGGGGAGGTTTGTTGTAATACAGATTCAGTTCTTAGATCGGAACACTAGTGCATGTAGTGGGGCCAGGCCTTCTTAGTGCGCATTCTGTGCCTTGTCCTTCAGACGCCCTCTGGATTGTTCAGATAGCGCGTTTTTTCTTTGAGACGTCCCAGAGACGGAGCAAGTCACGCAACGGTGTTGAGATTTAAAAGCGAAAGTCGACAAGATATCTGCAGGTTCAGACATCTTGTTCCCAATATTGTTTGAAAGCTGCCCCTTCACTTCGTTGTTTCAGCTCTTCTTGTGTCATGAAAGTGGGCGCTCAAAACCTTACTCCCTCTCCATTCGTGTCACAACGCAACTTGTGCAGGTCTCGTGCCATCCAGCAGTGTGAGTGGCAGATTGCCCCAAGAACTTTCAGGGTTGGCGCTGTCAAAGGGGAAGTACTTCAGTTGAAGTTTAAAGCTTGCGCGTTGCAGCTTGGGTTTTCGGGCTTGGGAGCTGCCAATTCGCGTTGTGAAGGGTTTCTGATTGTTGGCCTTAGGCCGCATGATTGTTGCGTGGCCTTCATTCATGTGGATATCACTTGGTTCCCCATTGCACATCGCAGAGGAAAAACTTGCATGCCCAATTTGTGCTTAGAGTGCGTCGCCGCCGTTTTTCCGATGCTTGCTTTGTCGCGCAGCGGAAGCTTGGCTTCAGCAAGGAGCAGCTACGCACGACACTCGTGAGTTTTGCTCTAGACGCATCGCAAGCAGACTTCCCACTCAAAGCGCTCCAGCACCAGGTCAACAATAAGTTCTCGGGGCTCAGATGGTCACAGCGGTAGCATCTTAAAGAGCGGGAACCCAAAGAATAGAAGAGCAGGTAATAGAACCTGAGATTTGTAGTCATTGTAGCCATAGAAACTGATGCTACAATGGAGCAGGCGCAGCCATGAAGCTTCCTTCACATTTTGGGTGGGAAGCACCAAAAACAGGGCCTTCGCATAGTCTCTCGATGCGCGCGAAGAAAGAGCATTTCACTTGCCTATTCTTCGTGCTGGCTGGGGAAAGGCACAATGCCTATGCCCAGGAACAGATGAGGTACAGGTCCTTCAAACTGGGTCAGGGTAGACTAACACCCCAAATTAAAGTTACGATTTCTTGAGATCTTGCAATAGAATTAAACCGCACCATGCAATGCACTTTGCTGCAATGACCCAGCAAGTTTTCGGGACACATTACTGCAAGCATCTCACCGTGGTTCTTGAGAACATGGCTCGCTTTGAGCACGGGGATGAAATCAGGAATATACTTTGAGAAACTTCTGCCCGTTTTGTATCTGACATGAGCTGCAAGTCCTCCTGACTACGGGGCATTGAAACCGTCATCGGCCTTAGGTATCCGATGGGGTGGGTGCTTGCCGTTTTGCTCGGGTTGTGAAGATTTCCAGTTTTGTGCCATCATATATTTGTCATCACAGCCTAGTCGTGAAACCCACCTCGCCTGAACAATGAGGTTGCCATATGCCCCGAAGCCTTTGGCAACGTGTCTTCTAGGATAAAGAGAGTCGACACCAATCGCGGTGCGTGATGGAATTGCAAGGGTTCGTTTGAATTTCCTCGGAGTTTCCCAAGAATTGGCATCCAAAATGCGCCAACGAGTAGAAAACCACCGAATTCAATTTCATTCGGGCCACTAGGCTTTGGAAACTCCTTCCATGTCTTTGCTATATTGCTACACCTTGTGCAGCCAAAGGAGACTGTTTATGGCAGGGCCTCGCCAGCAGGCCACCTTCCGGGGTGTAGAGTTTGAGGCTTAGGCAAATTTTGTTGGTGTGCAGACGAGGTTGCCCAAAATGAAGATCAGCCCTGCATGAAGTTCTTTGCAGTTTGCTGACAGTTTGGTTTCGGAAGTAGCAGCAGCATGAGTAACGCTTGTACGCTTGAGTTTTGGTGCGTCAAGAATGTGAAGGGGTAAGCCCCTTTTTTACCCGAATCATCTTGACATGCAAGGCGGCGATTGGCTTGCAGGTCGGAAACTTCCAGACCACCCTTGCCAGCCATGATCCACATCCAATAACTAGTGCAAGGCGAAGGAAAACAGAATGAAGCATCAGAATCCTGTTGGGGACCATACGTGGATCATTAAAGAGCAGTAGCGGCATGTAGTGGATATTCATGAGAATTGGCATGCCCATACTTTTTACAAACTTCCCTTACCCGGCGAATGAACGGTTGATTTCAGACTACAAAGCTTAGAACGAAGCAATCCTGACTAAATGATGAGGTTGGCCACCGCTCGACTGGTTTTATATTTCAGGTCTTACACATTCGTTACCTTCCATATTTGGCTGGAGGAAATCCCTTCCGCATCATTGCCAACAATGACCCACAACCTTTGTGCAATGCATGGGGACTAGCGAATATGAGCCCTGTACCAGTTTTCACGTTGATTATTTTCTTGTTTTGGACTCACTACAATCCTTCCCCCCGCCCCCTGCACATGGAACCCACAAGATCATAAAAAGATGTTTAATTTCTTGGAGGTCAGGGCAGGAGAAGGGAATGACCACGCAGCAACTTCTTTTGAAAGGCAACCGTAATCTGGCTTCTTGTCTACACCCCTGCAGAAAGCTTTACAAAATGGCTCAGCGCAGAGGACCAACATCTACGCGTTTTGCGCCAGCAAATAAAAGAAAGGTGGTTTCAATTTAGAAGCCCATTGATTCTGTTGTATAGATAATTTCAATCGTTACCTATTTTACTTTTGGATAAAGTGAAAAGCTTCAAGTTTTCTTTGCCGAGCTTTCAAGCATTTACTGTTGTTATTACCGTTAAAGACATTGCTCACCTCTAACCCCACATACTATTATATTCGGTAGGACCCCATAGATTATATTCAATCATTAAGCAACCTCATTTTCTCGTATGAGATGCTAGGCGGTATAGTCAGATGGAATTGATTTATTTTGCTTCGACGAGCATGTTGACGCTTCTTTCAACGATAATGCCATTTCGCACAGTAGATCATTTTCTTGATAGTAAGTTATAGGAGTCTACATTGAAATTTGACCCCGATTATCCCGAAAGCAATCAGTTCGAGGTTAGCAAGGGACACGCATCTGGTCGTGTTCTAGCCGTTGCGGTCGTGGTGCGGTGTAGTTGTTGTGGTGCATGTGGGCGGTGTATGTGTCTTGGCGTGCTTGGTGCGGTGTAGGTTCTGTGCTGTATGTGGGCGGTCTAGGCGCCGTGGCGCATTGGCGCGGTGTAGTTGTTGTGGTATGTGTAGGTGTCCTGGTATACGTGGTATGGTGCAGATGCCGTGCTGTATGGGGCAGTGTAGGCTCCGTGGTGTATTAGTGCAGTGTAGTTGTTGTGGTGTATGTAGCCGGTGTACGTGTCCTGGTATACGTGGTGCGGTGTAGAAGAAGTTACTTGGTGTCTGTGGGCGGTGTAGGCGCCGTGGTGTATTGGTGCGGTGGAGTTGTTGCGGTGTGGGTGCGCGGTAGAGGTGTCTTGGTATATGCGAGCGGCGCAGGCGCTGTGTTGTATGCGGGCATGCAAGGACTCCGTGATGTATTGGTGCGGTGTGTTTGTTGTGGTATACCTGCATGGGGGAGGTATTTTGGTATATGGGAGGAATATAGGGAGCCGCCGTGGAATCTTGATGCGATATATCAGTATTGCGGGCAGGTGCAGCACTAGATAAAAACAGATTTGGGCTAGATGATAAACGATATGAGGGAATCATACGAGATAATCGCTGGGATAGATGAACGTGATTATGATATATTGATACGAATCTATCGTTTTGAAAGGAGTTTGTCGATTCTATTCAAGCCTTGAAAAATAACGAGAGCATCATCTTCTTTATATTTATTAGATATATATAATTTTCAGAAATATACAAGAGAATATGAATCTTCTTTTTCATTAGATTTTGGATAAAATCTTTTTAGAATCTATGAGGTTTTCATATATTTTTGATGGATTCTGCATATATTGGAATTTCTTTTTGAAATATTGAGAAGAATATATAAGATATTCGTAGGATATTTTCTTAATTTTCTTCATATTTATATAAGGGAATCTAATTATTTATGAGTCGTCTATTGCTCATAAGAGATTTTTAGATTTTGATTTATATAGAAAGAAATTAGAATTGGCTGATTGTATAGAATAATTAAATATATTTTCTTTAGAATATTTATACGGAAATTCTGATGTATAAATCATTTATAAGATCGTATATGAAATTCGATGAATTATTGTTATTTCATGAGCATGGTAAAATATTTATAATTTGAAAGATTTTAGATTTTTGCGTTGGGTTTTCATATTTCTTTGATCTACATAGATAATGATGGAGACTCGTAATGATCTTGATATATAAATCGTTCGTCATATATAGATTTAGAGACGAAAATTCAATCGAATTATCTATTAAATGATTCTCGCCGAAATTTCTCTCATGATACTAATTATTAGAGATAGTATGATTGATTAGAGGAATAGGGAAAATATGATCTTCAATTTATTCTCAAATTCTAAATAGATAAGATCTAAAATGATTATTTGATATGATTCGTTCTGAAAGATTTTAGATTTTTATATTGCATATTTAGTCGGTAGGCAGCCGAAAGCAGAGAAATGATTCGAAATCTCGGGAATTTTCGGAACGGACGACCCCCGTATCTAACCCGAATTTTTAATTTCATTTATCATTCTTGGATTATCTGCGCGATGGTCCGGGAGAATATATAAATCCGTAGATAGGATCTATTAGCTCACGAATTCTAAAAAATTGGGGATTCTCATTTGAATAGCCGCGTAGATGGCCGAAGAGATTTATATTACGCGGAAAATGAAAAGGCTTTAGGATTTGGGCAAAATCTCAGAGATTCATTTTAGATCTTCTAATATTTTTGAAAAAGCTTAAAATCTCCGAGATTTTGGGAATCTCGTAAGAGATGTTTCAAAGATAAATCGGAAAATCTAGGTCGTGCGCGGGTACGTAGAATCACGTCCAATTTTTATATCAATATAAAATGAGAATCTCTTCACTGAAGATTCTTCCGTATTTTGCGGATTTTCTATTCAAGAGATATGAAAATTCAAATCATATGAAAAGCCTATTTCTATGAATTAAGAAAAGATAAATCTAAATGGGGCTTTTCTCAAATTATCATGAAATATAGAATCGACGATTTTTTCATTCCGATTAGTCAGGAAATTTACGTATTTCAGACTCAAATATTTTGATTTTTTTTCTAGAATATCTTTCATTTCGATCCATTCAATAGAGAATTCATCTTTGAGATAAATTTATGTTATTTTCAAAATTGAATCTTAATATTCTGGATGATGAATTCCGATATATTTATCTTCTAAATAAAATATAGGTCGTCCTA